GGGAGGGATCGTGTCAGACACGGTATTGAGGGATGCCACGCTCAAGAGGACCCAGGCAAAGTGATACGGTGGTTAGGGAGTGCTTGCAGTGTCTAGTCCTTGCTTTCCTTTTCGGCACCTGTGCAATGAAATGTTCGCGGTGCTTGTGCTGGCACCGGGTGCCCGAAGCGGCGGGATTGTTGGGGCCGAGTTCGGCGAGTGTTGCATGGTGCGATGGCTCTGTGGCAGAACACGTGACCGCCACTGGTGTCGGAATAGTAGAGCCTCAGCCCATGCGCGGCGACATCAGAGCAGTAGCAGTAGCAGGAGGAGGAGGAGGAGGAGGAGGAGGAGGAGGAGGAGGAAGAGGGGAGGGGAGGAGGAGGAGGAGAGGGAGGAGGAGGAGGAGAGGAGGAGGAGGAGAGGAGAACGAGGAGGAGGAGGAGGAGGAGGAGGAGGAGGCGGAGTGGAGGGTCAAGTTCTTGGGAGAGGGGTGAAGCACCAGCACTTGGATGCGGCACGGCGGTCCAAGACTGGAGCATGCCTGCCGCCACCGCCGCTGGAAAGCTCGTGGGTCGACTGGGGGGGGGGGGGGTCGGGAAGGCCGTCTTGGCTTTCGGGAGGAGGGAGGGGGGGGGAGGAGGGAGGATGCGGTCAAAGACTGAAGCATGTCTGCCGCCACCGCAGCTGGAAAACTCGTGGGTCGACTGGGGGGGGGGTCGGGAAGGCTGTCTTGGCTTTCGGGAGGAGGGAGGGGGGGGGAGGAGGGAGGATGACGGCAGCGGCTGTGTCGACGTGGCATACACTTTAGGCGATGCTTAAGAAAACTAAAATTTTCGGCCAGAGTCTCGATTATTCTTAATTTTTCAGTGTAAATCCTACAAATTTGGTAGAAATTTTGAGTTGTTATTCAAATTCTGAGACTATGAATTTCTTAACCCATGATTTCTTAAGCATTTCGCAGGGTGTACAGTTGCTCAGGGGTCATGTCGTGTCTGCTCCACGTATGGCCATTGTTTTGTACCATTCCAACACATGCCCGGGTCGGGCCACGCAGCTTTCGAGCCAAGCCAAATCAGCAGGGCGATGCCATTTTGTTGGCCAGTGGCTTGTTCGTCGGCACTCGGATTCTTGGGTAGGAAACACACCAGGCACTAGGGCAGAAGTCTTGATCTTGCTGTAGGTGAGCGAGTCATTGGTACTGACTGAGCTGTCGGAGAAAAGTTGCACACAACGAGCATGGCACACATGCAGGAGTGGTGCCATGACGTCAGCATCTTGTAGAGTGTCGCCCAATTCACGTTACTCCATGGAGAGGATTGGCAGGCTTGCCCGACCCCGGAAGAATTTGCAACGATTGCTGCTAGATGCGTGTGGGAGGGTGCCTTCTATTATGAATTCACCAGCCGCTGGTGACAACATATTTTGTCTGGGCGACATTGTTGGCTTTCCCTAGTGATCCTCCTGTGCCGAGGCGCGACGGATGGAAGCGAAGTTGGAGGTACTTCGCCGGACACTGGAGGGCTGCGCTGCCCGCCGATTGTTTTCTCGGCACATGTCGGATGTGTGGCTTCTATGACCACCTCATCCCGAAAGATCCCCGGCGAAGTAGTCGGGAGGAGGGACGTCGATAAGCAAATATAATCAAGGATGTGTGCATGGTGAGCTCAGAGACATTGGTAGGTTTCTTGGAGGCCTCTTGGAGCCATTTTGGACTTCTCTTGAGGGTTTTACGGAGCCCTCGAGACCCTCTCGGGGCTCTCTCGGGGCTCTCTTGGGGCCTCGGAGTTCTTGGGGCTATCTTGGAGGCCATCGAAGAAAAAGCGGTGAGATTAGAGTTGCGCCCCTCCTCGACGGAGGCGAGCCAGGGCCAAAGACGATTGTCACGTATGTGTGCTTTCTCGCTTGGGCCACACGGGACTCTGACATCTCGCGGGGGAGGGGTCCAGACCTAGGGTAGGGGTAGGGGATGGGTCAGGCTGCCCACAAGCAGCCAGCCGTCTCGCTTACTCCCGCCTGCCCTCCGAATTCACGGCCGTGATTGGATGGACAGCTACTGGGCACCACTACAGACGCCAAGTGCGCGAGGCTGGCGAGGTGCGCCACGCGTGCCGTGCGCACCAGGCGCGCCAGGCGCCCCAGGGGCCCAAGCGTGCCAGGCGCGCGTGGTGCGCCAGATGCGCCGCGTGCTTCGCGTGCACTGAGTGCGCCGCGTGCTCCAACCGCGCCAGGTGCGCGACGGGCGCACAGTGTGCCAAGTGCGCCAGTGCACGCGACAGGATACATCAGGAAGCGCGTCGACCCCCCCCCGCCCACCGTGACCCTCCTTGCCACAAGCCAATGCGAAATTGCGGCGGGATGAGTATTCGGGATGTGCACTCGCATTGACTCTGCACTTGTTTTTGACAGGGGTGGTGGGCATGCGCGCAACGGGCAATCTGCCGACCCCCCGCCGTCCGAGTCAAAAGACATTGCACAGTGATCGCGGAGAGTCCGCACATGGTTTACAATTTGCCGCAACGTGTACTTAGTAGAGTTTTTGAGAGGGATGGTGTGGGGGGTGGTGTTGGCACAATTTCGGATTGGCGGCTTGTCGAGTGTGGGAGGGCATGCTCATTAATCAAGGGCAGAGATCAGCTTCCCAACGGAGATGCCACAAGCTGTGTCGCTCACTCCTACGAGTCTAATCTGGGCAGAGGTCGCCATCGGATCGACACCCGTCGAAAACCACTGCAGGCGCCAGTGGCGCGATGCTCGCGAGGCGCGCCAGACTTGCCCGGTGCGCCGCGCGCACCAGGTGTGCCAGGTGCCCCAGGGGCCCAAGCGGGTCGGCTGCTCCAGATACGCCACGTGCTCGACGTGTGCCAAGTGCGCCATCTGCTCTAGCCGCGCCAGGTGCGACGCGCACAGAGTGCGCCAGGTGTGCCAGTGCACGTGGCAGCACACATCGAGTAACGTGTCGACCCCGTGACAATCCGTGCCAAAAACCACTGCAAGCGGCGGCTGGGTGGTCAGCATGGTGTATAGTATGTGCACCCGCAGTGACTTTGCATTGATTTCGGTTTTGATTGTGGGACATCGCGCGTTGGACCAACATGCTCACATTTCCGCCGTCCCTGGTGAAAGCCACTGCAAAGTGCACGCGGGGGTCCGGGTTACGATTCAGATTTTGGCGTCAATCAGAGCTAGCGGGGCCAGTCTTTGGGTCATCTGGGCCAGTGGTGCCAGTGCCAGGGACCGTAGTTGGTGGCAATCGGAGCAAGTAGGACCAGTTTGAGCTGGTATGGCTACTATTGGGAATTAGCATTTGTGGCAATCAGTGGTAATAGTGCTAGTGGGAGCTAAATGTATGAACGTCGAGAACTAAAGTTGGCGGCAGTCAGGGCCAGTGCGTCTCGTAGGGGCTGGTTGGGGCTGGTCTTGGTAACCAGCGATTGGGACAAGCAGTTCAATGCAACAGAAAGGGTGTGGACACCAGCCAAAGCGAAGGTGGGATTAGTCCAAGCAGCTTCCTCACATGGCCAGCTTAGGACTCTCTGGTAGCCTGATGGAGGCATCCAGGAGTCCTCTTGGGGCGGACTCTCTTCGGTGTGGGGGACTCTCTATGATGTGGGAGGCTTCGGGATGCTTTGTCAGCTCTCTGGCCTTCGGTAGCTTTTCCTGGGGGCTAGTGGCGGAGGCCAGTGGGATGTCGAGGCTTCCCCACACTTGGACTTCGGAAGACACTGTTGAAGTCGCGTCCTACTCAGTGAAAGCCCGTCAGCGCAAGCAACGTTGAGGAAGAAGCACAGCAGGGCGCTTGCATCCCGTCATTCGCAACTGCAGTTTCCAGCGACCCTCGAGGAGGCATGCAGCCATTCGATCCATTGCACGCTTCGGAATCTCTGTTTATTGCTTCCTTGTGGCCCACATTGAATACACGCCACTGCCAATGATCGCAGATGTTGTCAGGACGCGCCCTCCGGCAAGGGCGTTACTTCTGTGAACGGTGCAGACGGTGGGAGCAGGCCGAGTGCACTCTCGCTTCTGGGCTCACGAGTGTTCGAGCAGAGGATAACCATGTCCTTCCATCCGTGCAGGCCGTTGACATACCCAGCCCTGTGCTTGGGAATGTATGGATCGATTGCGGCCCAAGCGTGGGAGTTACCTTCGTTGTGCATGACCTGTTGGTCGCACCGTTATGGACTTGAATCCTATTGTCTTGTCGTAGAAGTTGTTGCTTGCTAGGTTGACCACAACTTTGTTGCTTGGTTTGTCTTTACCACATGACATGCTTCACACACTTCGGACTGGGATCACGTAGAAGGACACTACAAACAGATGGGTTCAACCGTTTTTCCCTGAAAGGGCATAAGCCCAGGGTTCTCGTTTGGAGGTTTACCCCCGGGTTTGATTTGAGGTGGGCCGGCGGATTTCTTTTGCGATAAATATCGAGGTCGAGGTGGGCCAGCGAATTTAATATGTGAGGATGTCTTGAGCGAAACGCTTGTTTTTCAGATGTTGTTGAGGATGTCTCGATCGACACGCTTGTTTTGTGTTATAGTGTGTCCTCTCCTGGGGACCTGATTTCAGAGGATCTTTCAAGTGAAATGCTTGTTTTCGCGTGCTCAGGTCTTGAGGATGTCTCGAGCGAGACGCTTGGTTTCACGCCTCCAGGTTGCCCAGACAGATGTCTAGCATGAGGATGTGTTGAGGATGTCTCGAACCAGAGGCTTGTTTCCACGTGTCCAGGTCGCCCAGGCGGATGTCTAGCATGAGGATGTGTCGAGGATGTCTCGATCGAGACGCTTGTTTGCACGTGTCCAGGTTGCCCAGGCGGATGTCTAGCATGAGGATGTGCTGAGAACGTCTTGAGCGAAACGCGTGTTTTCACGTGTCCAGGTCGCCCAGGCACAGCACAGCCGTCGGCACGGTACATCAAGACCGATACACTCAACATTGCATTTTGGCACGTTCCTTGGCGCGTTCTTTGGCGAGTCCACCTGGCACGTCGCGCGGCGCGTCCCCTGGCACGTCCCGCGGCACGTCCATTGGCACGTTCCGTAGCGCGTCCCCTTGGCACGTCCCCTGCCACGTCGCCTGGCGCGTCCTTTGCGACGTTCCGCGGCGGGTCCTCCTGGCATGTCCCCTCTGTCGATTAGTTCTGGGGCAGCTACCATCTGCTCAGGCAGCTCGAGCTTAAGATCCAGATCAGTTCGGTCAGGACTCGGATGCCAGGGAGGACTCGATCCACAACGCTAGATAGAGCACAATCGCGGCATGGCACATCGCAGTTCAGCACGGCGTGTCACAGCACAGCCCTCGGCACAGTACATCAAGATCGATACATTCAGCAGTGCATTTGCCCGTCGCCCAATCGGGTGTCTTTGAAACGTTGCCATGCCTTACATTTCTTTATTCCTTTCCGGTTTCGTGGGTCGATCCTGTTTTTGATAATGTTGTTTAGGAACGTTGTGGAGGTATTCTCGTGGTGGGTTGCAGTCCAGGTCTCGGGTGCCCAGGGGCATCATCAGGTTTTCGGCGAACGCTTGGCTGGTGTATGTTCAGATGCGTCTGCCTGCCATTGTTTCTCTTGTTAGCGTCTTTGCTGCATGCGCATGTGTCACCTGAGCAAAGAGAGTTGTTTCCAGGTGTTGTTTCACACTTTGCTTCCTGCATGCAAAGACTGGATCCCGATCGTTGTGGCATGTCTTCTTCCGTCAAGGTAACAGATGCCCACTCGCTTTCTGCTGCGCAGGTGGAAGAGCGCTGGAGTTAGCAAGCCGCTCACCAAGGGCTACGTGAAGACCGTGATGGAGGTGATCTGGGGGAGCGGAGCCAGAAGTCTCTGTTTTTTGCCTGAGACCCGTTCCCCAAACGCACATGCTGCAAGGCTTATCCAAGGGCTCCCCCGAGGGCGCGAAGTTATTCGCGCTTTGCGCTTCGCGCTTCGCGGTCCTCGTTCCTTCTCTCCCCCTCCTCCTCGTCCTCCTATTCTCCCTTTGGGGGGGCGGCGCGAGGGCGCGAAGTTATTCGCGCTTCGCGCTTCGCGCAGCGCGGAGCGCGAAGTTGGGAGCCCTAGTTTTTGCCTGAGACCCGTTCCCCAAACGCACATGTTGCAAGGCTTATCGGTACCCAACACGGCATGCTCGGGAGTCGGTCGGTTGGCCATCTCATGGCTCTCGCAGTGAGCGCAACCTTGGCAGCATGGCGGCCCCAGTTCGGCCAGTGGGCGTGGGTGGCGGGTCGTTTGCTAGCGCAATAGCATGTGAGTCGGTAGTGCTAGGATGCAGTGCCCCGCTGAAATTGGTTGAGAGAACGATCGGACAAACACTGCTGTGGTTCCTGGTCATGCTCCTATTGCGGGGGGGGGCAACGGTAACATGTGTCGGGTGTTTTGGGGAATTGATCGGCAAAGCGAATGCATGTAGAGTCACAGCACCACTGTTTCAACACCCGCAACGCAGGTGTAAGGTACACCCACTTGCTGACTGGCGTATGCCCTTTATTCTGAATGATGACCCTAGGCATGAGGTCTGACTGTCTCCTCCATTTGGTTGAACGTGCTGACTGACACATGACCCTCATTTCGCACGATGACCCTGGGGAACAGGGTATGAACTGACTGTGCTGGCTGACGTATGACTGTCGTTGTTACGATGTCCCAGTGGAACAGTATGGGCTGTCACCCCCGTGGAGTGGCTCTGCAGATGCAGTCGGTGCCAGACTCTGCTCCTGATGCAGATGCACGCCCATTCTGCCCTACGATCCGACGCGAGAGTCCCTGGTAGCGAAGCCGACATCAGTTTTGGACTGCCGACCAGAACCGTCCAGGGCGTCGAGAGGGATGCCTGTTGTTCATAGGGGCTAGGGAGGATGGGAGGATCTGGGCCGCAAGGTAGCAGAGGGAAGGAGGGCGAGGAAGGGGTCACGGCAAGATGGAGGGGTGAAGCGCTCGACGGAGACGCCTTCGGGACATTTCGATGGGCTTGAGTTGGGACATGCTGTTCGTGGCACTTTCCAGGCCCCAGCTTGCCCTCCTGAGGGCGGAGACTCACCCGGGCATTCCCTCGGGGGTAACGTCAGAGTTGGATAGGCCCAGGGGAGGAATGCATCGACCACCAATTGGTAAGTTTATCGCTGGTAGGGGCCTGATTGCCCATCTTGCCAAGGAACGTGCGGCTTCGCAGTTGAGAGCCCATCGCCGTTCCAGCGGCTGTGCACAGCCGATTCCGGGTCGATGCTGCCCACCCCGAGCAGTTGCCCCCCTATTTTTCTGTTTCGTTCCCGTACAGTTCACGGATCAGCAGGAGGGAGGAAGAGAGGCGGAGGACGAGAAGGAGGACGACGAGGACGAGGAGGAGGAGGAGGAGGAGGAGGAGGGGAGGAGGAGGAGGACGAGGAGGAGGAGGAGGCGGAGGAGGAGGAGGAGGAGGACCAGTGTATACCCAAGAGTCATCAACGATGTTGGAGTTAACCCTCCCTCCAAGCTCCCTCTTCATAGGCCCCTACAACGGTTCATTCCCATTGCGGGAACGGCCTCGCTGGAAGACATCCTTTTGAAGACCCTGAAGCATGCCAAAACATTGTTCTCGGGGTTTCAACGCCACGGATCAGCCTGACTGCTGCGTCTGTACGATCCGGAACCGTGACAGAACGCCATTTTTGCGACTTCAACACCGCGAATCAACATGATTGGTGCACCCGCGTAATCTTGAATCCTTCCAAAACATTGTTTCTGGTACGTTGATCAGCGAGGTGCTAAGGCGAGAGCAACATTTTGAAAACCACCTGCCCTCCATCCGTGAAGCTCTTGCAATTTTCCCGGAAAGGGCATAGGCCCAGGGTTCTCTTTTAGTATGTAAACTTATCCCCAGTGCCTCAACGGAGGTGGGCCGGCGGATTCTTTCCCTGATAAATATCGAGGTCGAGGTGGGCCGGCGGATTAAAATTTGAGGATGTCTCAGGCGAAACGCTTGTTTTTGGAATCCCGATCGATAAATCACAGGGTGCGGGCCACTCTTTCGTGTGTTGAGGATGTCTCGAGCGAAACGCTTGCTCCGCAGAGTTTCCGAGGATGTCTCGAGCGAATCGCTTGTTTTGTAGAACTTGAGGGATCTGGGCGCCCCAGAGATTTGCCTTCTCCAGGTGCACGGACTTGCTGCTGTTGCTGCTGTTGTTGGTGTTGCTGCTGCTGTTGGTGCTGCTGCTGCTGCTGCTGCTGCTCATGCTGAAGATGACGCTGAGGACGACGACGATGACGACGCTGATGACGCTGATGTCGCTGATTACGAGGAGGAAGAGGCGGAGGAGGAGGAGGAACAGGAGGAGGAGGAGGAGGAGGAGGAGAAGGAGGAGAAGAGGGCACTCCTTTGTACGGCCACATGGCCCCCGCCCCACCCCCTGAGTGACGAGACGCAGGGGAAGGGGGCGGCCAGGCCGGCCAGCGCGGCGATGGAGAGGTCCCCCCTCCTCGCACCTCCTCCCCCCACTTCTTCGAACCTCCGTGAAATTCCTTCTCCTTGCTCTTCCTCCTCCTCCTCCTCCTCCTCCTCCTCCTCCTCCTCCTCCTCCTCCTCCTCCTCCTCCTCCCCTTCCCCTCCTCGCACGCGACTCGCACCTCCTCGAACCTCCCTGGACCACCTCGCACGCGACTCGCACCTCCTCGAACCTCCCAGGACCTCCTCCACCTCCTCCTCCTCGCTCCTCGCTCCTCGCTCTCCTCGCACTCCTCAGCCCGCTCCCCGTCGCTCGCGCCCGAGCGAGGTGCTGGCAGGGGAGGGGGCGGGGGCTAGGCGGGCGACGACGAGAACGACGACGACGGCGGCGACGACGAGCTCCCCGCCGCTCCCCCCCCAGGCAAAGCCCCCGGACCTCCTCCTCCTCGCTCCGCCCCGAACCTCCCAGGACCTCCTCCTCCTCCTCGAACGACGACGACGGCGGCGACGACGAGCTCCCCGCCGCTCCCCCCCCCAGGCAAAGCCCCCGGACCTCCTCCTCCTCCTCGCTCCGCCCCGAACCTCCCAGGACCCTCCTCCTCCTCTCCTCCTCCTCCTCCTCCTCGCTCCTCCTCCTCCTCCTCCTCCTCACTCCTCGCTCTCCTCCCCGCTCCCCCCCCCCAGGCCAAGCCCCCGGGCAGGCCGCACGGGGAGCGCAGGCGCGGCCCGGCCCGCGGCGGCGGCGGCACGCCCTCCCGGCCTCGGCCTGGGACGGCTCCCACACACCACGGCGGGGCCCGGGAGGGCCCCTTGGAGGAGGAGGAGGGGGAGGAGGAGGAGGAGGAGGAGGAGGAGGAGGAGGAGGAGGAGGAGTAAGGCCAGGCACGGTGGTGGTTCACGGGTGCCCTCTGCGAGATCGCGGTTGTCTCGGTTTCCGTTCCTTCCCCCCCCGGTTCCCCCTCGTATCTCCATTTCTTCCTTCCACCCTTCTTCCCCCCATTCGTGATCCCTTCCTCTCTTGTTCCGCCTCCGCCTAGCTCATTTTCCCTTTCCTCTTCTCCCTCTCCCTTTTTCCCTGTTTCTTTTTCCGTTTCCCTTTCCCTTCTCTAGTTTTTCCCTTGTTATTCTTCCCTTTCCTTCCTTCCTTCCTTCCTTCCTGTTCCTTCGTCGAAAGCCGTCTCATGAAACTCTTTTTGTATGCGGCATGCGATGCGGTATTTGACGTTGGATTTGGCAAGGTCACGCTGAGTTTCGAGCAAGCGCGAAACTGGTAAAGTACAAGTTGGACGTGGAGGTTGTGTGTGTGTGTTCAGTGTCACAATCCGACGGGGGTCCCAGCCCTTCCGTCCTCTTCCGTCGTGCTGCGCCACCGCGCAAAAGCAGGGCGAGAAGCCGAGTGGGGCCCCCGCTGTACCGCTGGTCCGGCTCGTGTCGGTGTGAAAGTTCGGCCGACGAGATCTACCCCCATCCGCTCCCCCTGTCCAGGCCCATCCTGGGCCCGTGAGCGGCGCAGGGGACCGGGAGGGCGTGAAAGCCGCTCCCGGGGCCCAGGACGGGCCAGGCCGGGGGCAGCGGATGTGCACAGATCTCGTCGCCCCCGGCTTTGCGGCCGCTCTCGAACCCTGCGTGCCACTGCGGGCGCGGCCGAGGCCGGGGTATCGGACATGCCCGCTGGGGTTCACTCGGCCGCAGGCGTCCTTCCTGCGCGGAACCTCCGCCGGTCTTCAGGCGTCTGACCTGCAGGAGCGGGGCTCGCATGCGGTCTCCCACCAGTGGAGAGAAGCGGTGGCGAGCCCGAGGGGGCAGCGGGAGGGGGCAGGCCTTCTGAGCGGGCCTGCTCCCTCTCCCTCCCCCCCTTCTCCCAGCCTTGGCGCGCCGCCGATAGCACGAGCGCTCGCCCCCGCGCACACGCCATCTCCCGCGCCAGCGCTCATCATCGTCTGACCCTCCTCCGCCTCCTCCTCCTCCGCCTCCTCCTCCGCCTCCTCCTCCGCCTCCTCCTCCTCCGCCTCCTCCTCCGCCTCCTCCTCCTCCTCCTCCTTGTCCACCGGGCCATGGTGGCTCAGGCCCCACCAGTCCGCCTCCCGAGGTGGGGGCAGGTCCCGCGCAGCCCGAGGGGAGCAGCACGCATCCCCACCTTTGGGTGTGGGGGGGGCTAAGTTGGCCACTGGGGCCAAGGCCATGTCAGTGGGGAAAGTCGGAGGGCACCAGCTATACACCAACACCGATCCTGGCCCAGGATCACTCTGGGCCCAGGATCGATGTATATGCCTTCTTGCGCAAGGCAGGAGGGCGTATACACCGATCCTGGGCCCAGGGTGATCCTGGCCAGGATCGGTGTTGGTGTATAGTTGGTGCCTTACTAGAAAGGGCTCGGTTGATGGATGCGCAGGCGCGGCGCCAGGGCGCGCCGACTGCGCCGCGCCCGCTCTGAGCTTCCCTCCCAGACATTCGATGTCTTTTGTTCCCCACATACTCAGTGGGGTTCTGGTTTTCTTCCCACCCGCGTCGCACCCGCGTCTCCTCCCACACACCTCCCTCTTCCCCTCCTCCTCTTCCTCTACTCTCCCTCGCCTCGCCCGAGCGCAACGCGTGCACGGCACGCGGCACTTTCTCCACACCAGACGGGGTGCGCAGGGGGTGGTCCCTCACCGCGATCTCTATCCGTCCCAGGGTCGCGGAGCTTGGCAGGCGTGGCACTTTCTCCACACCAGAGGGGGTGCGCAGGGGGTGGTCTCTCACTGCGGTTCCTATACGCGCCAAAGTCGCAGGGCCTTGCAAGCGTGGCAGTTTCTCGACGTCACAGGGGGTGCGCAGAGGGTGGTCTTTCACCGCGGTCTCTATACGTGCCAATGTCGCAGGGCCTAACAGGCGTGGCACTTTTTCGACGTCAGAACGGGGGTGCGCAGGGGGTGGTCTCTCACCGCGGTCTCTATACGCGCCAATGTCGCAGGGCATAGCAGGCGTGGCACTTTCTCGACGTCAGAACGGGGGTGCGCAGGGGGTGGTCTCTCACCGCCGTGTCTATACGTGCCCATGTCGCAGGGCCTTGCAGGTAGGGCACTTTCTCGACGTCAGGGGGGGTGCGCAGGGCATGGTCTCTCACCGCGGTTTCTATACGCACCAATGTCGCAGGGCATAGCAGTCGTGGCACTTTCTCCACGTCAAAGGGGGTGCGCAGGGGGTGGTCTCTCACCGCGGTCTCTATACGCGCCAATGTCGCAGGGCCTAGCGGGCGTGCCATTTTCTCGACGGCAGAAGGGTGCGCAGGGGTGGTCTCTCACCGCGGTCTCTATACGCGCCAATGTCGCAGGGCCTAGCAGGTGTGGCACCTTCTCGGCGTCAGAGGGGGGGGCGCAGGGGGTGGTCTCTCACCGCGGTCTCCATACACGCGCCCCTGCCGCAGGGCCTAGCAGGCGTGTTATGCAGTATGCACAGGTGCCCTCAGGCGACAACTAGGCTACGCGGATGCTTCAGGGCATGGATCACGGCGGCCGCTATGCGCGCTGGTCGTCCAGGGCATAGCAGGCGGGGCACTTTCTCGATACCGTAGAAGGTGCGCAGGGGGTGGTCTCTCACCGCGGCCGTTATGCGCGCCAGTCGTCCAGGGCACAGCAGGCGTGGCATTTTCTCGACACCATAGAAAGTGCTCAGGGGGGTCGGTGTCCCAGGGCCTACGGACCACCTCAGCATACTCAGGCTCTCAAGGCTTGACAGGCGCCACCAACGGGATCGGCGAAACAACGGCCACTTGCATCATTCTCGCAAGTTTCACGTCAACATATCATCACGCCAGAAATATTATAAGTATTTTGGGTTTCTCGTTCGCGTATTTTTTTCAATGCGGGATCCCCAGAAGCTTCGACCTTTTCCCTGGCACCGACTTTTTGTCCTGAGTCGGTTTGTGGCGGTCCTGGGGCCCAGTGAGGGCCGTCAGGGGCCAGAGATTGCGATGAATCTCCCGTCGTGATCTTCTCACGACGCGACGAGCACGTCTGGGCTGATGTGCTCCAGCCCTCTCAGATGGGGCCTGAGTGGATGGGTTCGGGGGATCGCGCTGCGGCTCGATGTGCAGCCGGCCGCGGCATCGCCGATGTTGACGGTGGGCCGATGTCGGCGCTTGCGTCGTCGTCGTCGTCGTCGTCGTCCGTCGTCGTCGTCGTCGTCGTCGTCGTCGTCGTCGTCGTCGTCGTCGTCGTCGTCCGTCGTCGTCGTCGTCGTCGTCGCCGTCGTCCGTCGTCCGTCGTCCGTCGTCCGTCGTCCGTCGTCCGTCGTCCGTCGTCGTCCGTCGTCCGTCGTCCGTCGTCCGTCGTCCGTCGTCCGTCGTCCGTCGTCGTCGTCGCCGATGCTGACGATTGGCCCTCTCGCTTGTCCCGAGCGCCGCCGCCGAGCGACCCAGACCCCCGACGTCATGATTTTTTCATGACGCGACCCCCAGAGGTCCGGACCCATTCCCCGGGACCGGTTTGTCATCCTGAGTCGTTTTTTGACGCTCCCGAGGCCCGGTGAGGGCCCCCCGAGGCCGAAAATGGCGAAAAACCTCCCGTCGTGATTTTTTCATTACTCGAGGGGGTCTGGGGGGAGAGAGAGAGAGAGAGAGAGAGAGAACGCGCCCTCTGCCGGCGAGCGCCCGGCGGAGGCGCGCCCCCCGCAGGACCCCCGGCGGGAGCGCGCCGGGCAGCGGCAGAGCTTCGCCGAGGAGGGAGCCGCAGGAGGCCCCTGCGCGCGTTACGCCGGGCCGCCGGGGGGAGCTGCTCCCCCAGAGATCCGACGCTCCCAACTCCTCCTCCTCCTCCTGCTCCTCCTCCTCCTCCTCCTCCTCCTGCTCCTCCTCCTCCTCCTCCTCCTCCTCCTCCTCCTCCTCCTCCTCCTCCTGCTCCTCCTCCTCCTCCTCCTCCTCTCCTGCTCCTCCTGCTCCTGCTCCTCCTCCCTCCTCCTCCTCCTCCTCCTCCCCCTCCTCCTCCTCCTCCTCCTCTCTCCTCCTCCTCCTCCTCTCCTCCTCCTCCTCCTCCTCCTCCCAAAAAGCATTGGCGCGGGCGGTTTTTGTCCGTTGTCGGCCCTCGGGGGCCCTCGCCGCGCTGCAGGAGCGTCAAAGAACGACTCGGGGCGAAAATCTGGCCCTGGGGAAGTGGTCCGGACTTCTGGGGCCCACGCGTATCGGGCCGGGCGAAAGGGGGGGATTGGGAAAGGGGGGGTTACGAAATTTGCTGCATGCAGCTGGTTTTGGCCTCACCGAGGGGCCCATTCCTCGATACATGGCCGCCTCCGGCGCCGGGAGGCGCCGGGAAAATCAGCTACGTGAGCTGATTCTCAAACCCCCCCTTTGCTATCCCCCCCTTTTGCCCGACCCGAGCGTAGGAAAAGTTGGAGCAGCCGGATGTCTGGGCAGGACTCTGCGCAGATCACCGAGCGCGTTCCACCACTCGCAAAGTGCCTAACTACTCGCAGACGTCCGAAAAAAAGCATGCCTTCCTGTCATTATGCCATGAAGTAGCCCTTTTTGCGAGCAGTGGAACGCGCTTTTGTCGAGCAAGGCGTCTGAATTTGGCTCAAAGGTGAATCTGGCAGGTACGCTTGCGTGCTTGGCTCGTGGAGGCCGCGAGCATGTAAAGCCTGGGCTCTCCTTGCGGTGCTCTCTACTCTGCCTTTCCACCGTTGCTCCAATCAGCTCCGGCATCATGTACGGAGTGGACGGAGGCAAGGGCGGCACTGGCGGTGGCAAGGGCTCTGGCTTTGGCAAGGGCGCGGGCCCCTCTGGCGGACGTGCAGGCGGTGCCGGAGGTCACAGGCGTGCCTCGGGCTTGGGCGGTGGAGCGACGCCGCCATGGCATGTACCGCCACCACCGCCAGGATGGTGGTGCCCCGCCTGCGGCGAGCTCAACTCGCCAGCAAGAGGCCCCTGCGAGCTGCGCCAGGCTGCGGTGGGGGGGTGCTGCAGTGCAGCCAGCTGGCCGACATCCCAGGTTCGGAGAAGCAAGACGTCATGATGCCCGTCGGTCGTGGAAAGTAGAGCTTTTTTCCCGGAAAGGGCTTAGGCCCAGGGTTCTCTTTGAGTGTGTTTCCCCTTGGTTTTGACGGCTGTAGGACCGGCGACTTTCTTGTGCGATAAATAACGAGGTCGCGTAGGGCCCGCGAGTTAAAATGTGAGGATGCCTCGAGCGAAACGCCTGTTTTTTTCAGAATTTGCTGAGTCTCGAGCGATTCGCTGGTTTTGCCGAGCGGGGGCCTCGTGGGGGGCTAGAATTCAGAGGATGTCGCGGGCGAAATGCGTGTTTTCACGCGCCCAGGTCGGCCAGGGGGGGTATCCAACATGGTTGTCCGTCGCTGGCGCCTCAGACGACCGCATGTTGGATATCCCTCCTGTCAGGAGGAGAAAAAACACACAGACACAATTAATTGTCGATTCCCCAGAAAATATAGGAAAATATGGGAAGTGGGCGGGAAGACAGAAACCCAGAAAATATTAGAAAATATGGGGAATCATTTTATTTGTGTGTATTTATTTGTGTGTTCCAGGGCCTCTTCATCCTGGGTGGGCTGGAACCGTGAGTTTTTCCTTGTGCAGGCCATCAGGGGGGTTATCTAACATGCCAGGAGACCCCAGGAACCTCTAGGGCGCTCCCAGGAGGCCCTGGCGCCGTGGCATGGCACGGGAAATGACGCCAGCGCTGCAGCGGGAGCACGATTCGGAACGAGCGGAAGCGCGGAAATGAGGCCAGCGTTGCAGCGGGAGCACGATTCGGAACGAGCGGAAACACGGAAATGAGGCCAGCGCTGCAGCGGGAGCACGATTCGGAACGAGCGGAAACACGGAAATGAGGCCAGCGCTGCAGCGGGAGCACGATTCGGAACGAGCGGGGCCCGGAAATGAGGCCAGCGCCTCAGCGAAAGCAGCATTTTGAAAAAATGCAGGCGGAAACCCAATTCCGAGGAATCCTGTGTGCAAAAAAAGACTACGCGGGGGGGGCCGAACACTCCCAACCCGTCATCAGGGGAAGGAGGATAGTAGTTTCGGGTTTCGGGTTTCGGGTTTCGGGTTTCGGGTTTTGGGTTTGGCCGTGGCCGTGGCCGTGACATTGGCCGTGGCTGTGGCCGCCGTGGCCGTGGCCGTGGTCGCGGCCCAGGAACCCAGGCAAAGGCACTTGGGAGGTGCCAGCGGGGAGCCCCGGAAAGGCACTTTGGAGGTGCCTGCGGGCGCCTGGGGAAAGCACTTGCGCAGTGCCTGCGGGCAGCCCAGGAAAAGGACCTTGGAGGTGCCTGCGGCCAGCCCTGGAAAGACACTTGCGAGGTGCTTGCGTGCGGCCCAGAAACCCAGGACATGCACTTGGGAGGTGCCAGCGGAGATCCCAGGAAAGGCATTTTAGAGGTGCTTGCGGGCGCCTGGGGAAGGCACTTGTGCAGTGCCTGCGGGCTGCCCAGGAAAGGCACTTGGGAGGTGCTTGCGGCCAGCCCTGGAAAGGCACTTGCGAGGTGCCTGCGTGGCCGTGGCCGTGGCCGTGGCCGTGGCTGTGCGGCCGTGGCTGTGCGGCCGTGGCCGTGGCCGTGGCCGCAGCCGTGGCCGTGGCCGTGGCCGTGGCCCAGGAGCCCAGGAAAGGCATTTGGGAGGTGCCAGCGGGGAGCACGGGAAAGGCACTTTGGAGGTGCCTGCGGGCGCCTGGGGAAAGCACTTGTGCAGTGCCTGCGGGCAGCCCAGGAAAGGGACCTTGGAGGTGCCTGCGGCCAGCCCTGGAAAGACACTTGCGAGTTGCCTGCGTGGGGCCCAGGAACCTAGGAAAGGCACTTGGGAGGTGCCAGCGGAGGGCCCAGGAAAGGCACTTTGGAGAGGGGAAATGCGTGGTGGGAGGTGCTTGCTGGCACTTGGGAAGTGGTTGCCATAGAAACTGCGAAGGTTAAGTGCTTCACCTGGTGGTGCTGTGCCAGCTTGTCTAGGGTCATGTGTATGGTAGGGTTTAGGGTTGAGGGTCGGGTTTCGGGTTTATATGGTTTACGGTGTAAGTTTATGGTTTAGAGTTCAGCGATCAGAGTTTAGGGCACGGTTAAGGGTTTAGAGTTTAGGGTCGGGTTTGGTTTCGGGTTTCGGGTTTCAGGTCTCGGCCTCGGCGCCCCACTTGCCAGTGATGTCCAGGATGTAAGGCACGAGTCCCTGAAATGGGTATCTGCGACGCTTCACAATTTTCCCTGCGCTGCAGGACCGCCTCATGGGGCCTGCCGAGCTGCGCGACCGCCACAGAGTCCACCAGGAGGAGGAGGAGGAAAAGGAGAAGGAGGAAAAGGAGGAGGAGGAGGACGCGGAGGAGGAGGGGAGGAGGAGGAGGAGGAGGAGGAGGAGGGTGTAAGGCCTCCCCGGGTCTCATCGGCCGGCGTGATGGCGCCAGGAGGCCCTGGTGCCATGGCGCCAGCCGATTTTGCGAAAACTTGCCCAGTTCCACCAACATCGGCCCGTGTTATGGCACCAGGAGGCCCTGCTGCCATAACGCCGGCCGGTTGTGCCGAAACTTCTTCGATTGGAACCCAGGGCGCTCGAGGCCCTGGCGACATGTTTGACGCCGGCCGATCTTGCCCAAATTTGCCCCGATTCCACCAAAATGGGCCTCGCGGGGCCTCCGAGGAGGCCCCGGGCATTTCCAGGGCGCCCCCAGGAGGGCTTCTCAGAGCAGCCTTCTGGGCGGGAGTTTTCGCGCTGGGCTTTCGCTCGGCGCAGGCCCCCCCTGTTCTCCCGGGGCGCGAAAGGCGCCGGGGACCTCCAGGGCGCTCCCACGAAGCCTTGGTGCTTAACGCCGCCGGATGTGCCAAAACTTGCCCCGATTCCACCAACGTCGGCCGGCGTGATGGCGCCAGGAGGCCCCAGCGCCATAACGCCGCCCGATTTTGCCAAAATTTGCCTGTATTGGTCGTAGTAGTCGTAGTAGTAGTAGTAGTAGTAGTAGTAGTAGTAGTAGTAGTAGTAGTAGTAGTAGTAGTAGTAGTAGTAGTAGTAGTAGTAGTAGTAGTAGTAGTAGTCGTAGTAGTAGAAGTATTAGTAGTAGTAGTAGTAGTAGTAGTAGTAGTAGTAGTAGTAGTAGTAGTAGTAGTAGTAGTAGTAGTAGTAGTAGTAGTAGTAGTAG